TTTATATATATGAACAGTACTTTCTGTGCTCAAATGCTTTTCTTATTTCGTTACTAATTATATTTACTTGCTCTATCGTGCTATGTTTTTCACGGAACCCGAAAGGAGTCATCTTTGATAGTAACAATTTTTCAAATATTAAAAAAAAAAAGAATGATTGTCTATATGAAGACGGCTGCGTTAAGTCTTTCCCAGGTTTGTCTATTAAGATAATCTGCGACTTTTTCCATGAATTAGGATAGTGTCCGAGATTAAGAATTGCATTGAAGAGCAAAGAGAGAACTTCTACGGCAATATGTGGTAACTCAATTAGCATTGTTAGGGTAATAGTATCATGACCTGGTGACTTTATGAGTTAAATTCTTTAATTATTCTAGTAACTTCAGAAGTAGAAGTATTGGGCAACGTTGGCAACTCAAAGTTGTTCTTTCGGCAATTGGATTGAAATACCTTTTCTAGGTGATTTGCAAAGCAATTTGCCTTATTCTCATCACTACGTGCCCAATTATCATTCAACTGTCTTAGAGGCATGTGAAAATCCACTGATGGCTTGAAAAACTTTTGGGCTTTCCAAAGGAAGTTTTGCCTGCTAGAATTTGGACACAGATTCTTTATATAATTTGCAGCGTTTTTTTAACTTTCGTAGAGCAGATTTCAGTTGAAGCAAAATTGAAGGGGAGCGATTCAACTGCCATTAGCGCCAAGCTCGCCTAGTTCGCCTTTTCTCATTTACAAGTTTCTCTATTTCATTATTGGTGATCTTTCTTTTTTTTGGTATTGCCAAGATAGCTGCATTAGTTATTACGTCAATAATTTCTCTTATATTTTCATCAACGTCTCTTTCTGTATTCATTTTGCAAACAATATTGTTGTGGCTGTTGGTATACTTTCTGTACTTCAACCAGTTAGCTTTATATGATGTTAGAGAATCTTTTGGCTCAAATATCTTGAGCGGTTCGTATAACTTTATTAGTACAGCAGAATGATGAGATGATAAGTCTGAACATGTATCAGCTGTCATAAGTGATCTATCTATATTTTTGACTACAGCAAAATCTTATAATTGTGCTTTTCTATCTGGATGATTTGTGACACAGAGTCTAAATCCCGGCATATTGAAATTTTTTTTATTTGTTAAATGAGTTTCTGAATTAAGCATAATATATAACATCTATATTCTTTTCAGACAGAAATCTAATAATCTCTAATTTGTGTTGGTTAACACCGTTAGCATTCCATATACTTAGATATTTACTAAGCTCATTTTTACTTAATAAATTTTGCAGGATTTGATTTTGTGATTTTATTAAATCATGGATCAGTTGCATTTGCACAGTGTTGCCTTTCACTATACTTGCATAGCTTCCTTGCATATTATTGTTGATAGAAGTAATAGGATTTGAACTTTTCTCTGAGGTTACTATAATTTCATTACGGGGTGTTTGTAACATTTGGTTATGACGTGCTTTAATGCCCTGTGACAACTTCGATTTCAAATCTTTATATACAGGACAACCTCTGTAGTTGGCAGCGTGATTTCCTCCGCAATTGCTGCATTTTTTATTTAATTCTTGTTTTTTAAGGAGGCATTTCGAAGTGGGATGTAAATCACCACATACCACACAAACCCTGCGTAGAGTGCAGTATGATTTAGTATGCCCATATTCTTGGCCGTTAGTACATTGCACCGGACCGTTACTTTTATGTGGTTCTTCCACCATTACTCTTCGATGCAGCAAATATTTTAAATTATATATTGGATAGACATCATTAAGTTAGAGTTTAGCAACAATTAAATTTTAAACATTGGTACCACAGCCATTATGTTTCTATTAAATTAATTTACAACAGTTTTAATACCAAAACCGCATTCTTCCAATGCTTGTTTGAATTCACTAGAGTCTACGGCGGACTCTATACCCTTAATTACAATAACTAGGTCCTAAGAGCTCTTCAGTTGTTACGAATACTATTTTTAGGTTTTATCTACATCTAACATCTAACTATTTCCATAAAACTTTTTTCAGTGTACGACTGAATTTTTATTTCATCTTTATTGACTTTTTTCAAAGGCACTATTTGAAAATTGTTAGTACCTAATATATCACTTAACTTCTTAAAAAGAGTATTACTGCTACGTTGGCGCAAATACATTGGAGGTGGTTTGGCATTAACGACTGTGCTCTTAGTATGGCAAATCTGCTGTCATTTAAAACTACCGTTATATTTTTATTTGCTGTGCCGTCTTGAAACTTTTTAGGATTGACCGCTGACTTAGAAGAACTTAATTTCCTTTTTATATTAACGTAGCGGCCAATGCCAGTTTCTATAGACGGGCCTTTTTATTGGTACATTCTCACCATGCGTTGTAATTTTCTTCGTTGTCTGCGCGCTTGCCAACGTAAGCATGCCAACGTAAGCATACCAAATTGCATGTTGATTGCTGCCAGCGCATTTGTTGTTGTCCGATTATTGTTTTCTACTGCTTCTGCTGACTGTGTTCTTTGCTTCTTTTCCTTTTCAGCTGATCGCCGCGATGACTCATCATCCCTGTTACACTTTTTATTGCCAGTAGTTGTTGTTGTTGATAGGTCGACAAAGCTGAAGTAGGCATTTAAGGAATGCCTACGGCCTTGATGGTGAGGCTTCGAATCACTCATTATTGTTTGTTCGATTTTTTGTATTTTGTTTACACTTGTTGATTCGTGCACTATTTGTTTATGAGTATTATTGTTATCAATCTGTGTACACTGTTTTTTTATGTTTGTTTACAATTTAAGAAATTGTTTTTTGCTTTACTTTTTCCTTGACTGTTATTGCATTTTTTTATTTTTTTTTGATAAAGATTGAATTCACGAAGCGAATTAAATAAGCACGTCCGTGCACTTTAAACACTCTAAGCTAATCAATCGGGGAAGCTTTTCAAAAATGAGGGAAAATAATTAAGAAATTCGCTATATTTTGAAGAATGCCACGCAAGCCACCAATGAAATTTGTGAAGTACACGGAGATGATGTTGTATCAGTTCGTGTAGCACAACAATGGTTCACTTATGTCCGATCTGGAAATTCCGATGTGAAGAATGCGTCTCGTTCTGATCGACCTATCGTGGAAAAAGTCGATGAAATTATGAAAAACATTGACCAGGACCGTCAAATAAGCAGCCATGACATCGCTAGAGAAAAAGGCTAGCTACAAAAATATGCTAGATGTTTGGGTACGACATGAATTGTCTGTGAAAAATTCAATGGAACGAATTAACATCTGTGATTATTTGCTGGAACGAAATGAAATCAAACTATGTTTGAAACGAATGGTAACAGAATACGAAAAACGGATCAAATACGACAATAATGTGCGAAAAAGATCAAGGTCCAGCTGTTGTGAGCTCAAGTCTGGTCGAACGATTTATTCTACATTTTACTATCAACAAATGAAAAGATTGAAGCAAACAATCGAAAAAAACGGCAGAAACTGATCAACATAAAAGGCTTCGTCTTTTATCAGGACAACACTAGACCACACACATTTTTGATGACTCGGCAAAAACTGGGAAGTTTTGATGCATTCACCATATAGCCCTGACCTTGCGCAATCGGACTTCCATTTGTTTCGGCCAATGCAGAACTCCCTTAATGGATAACAGTTGGCTTCAAGAGAAGCCGGTGATAATTACTTGTTGCAGTTTTTGCTGAGAAACCAGAGAAGTTTTACATTGTCGAAATAATGTCTCTAGCGGAAAAATGGCAAAAACTATTCGACCAAAATGACACATATGTATATGTAATATGTATGCGTCAAAAATAATTAAACAGCAATATAGAATTATACACCAAACAACACACCACTCACAAGCAATACTATCACATACACCATACTTGAAGACAGCAGTTTCCACACACCACACATTCATAGAAAGCAACAGAAAACACAACACACACACATACACGCAGTTATTATACCACCACCGCCCAACGAGCAAAAAGCTTCGTTCTAGAAGAGGACGTCCCTTTTCAACCACGAATTTCGATCAGTAAGCATCGGCGGACGTTCTTTTCTTCGTATATTCGACAGCTCAACCAACTTTCTACATCTGGTGATCTTCGGCACACAGCAGTTCAACCAATATATCATCATATTTTCGAGTGTCCCTTTTTAATAATTTTATAAACATATTTATACAACCTCCACTGATATCCGACCAGGGAGTCCATCAATTTCATTTTTTACACGCCTCCACTGGTATCGGACCAGAGAGATTTTTATTATAACGTTTATCAGCCTGAAATAAAATTATGATCCCTTTAATTGGATCGTGAAAAAATATCTATAATATAGCAGATCGTTTTTATTTGATTTCATCGATTTATTTTCAGTCGTTTATGAGTAAATAATTTTAAAATTTTATCGTCCTCTAAATTTCAACCTTCAATAACTAACAAAACAAAGAATTTTGACGAAATATTCACTGGGTATGCGTCTGGTCTCCTTCCTAATGAACTGCTAATTTTCAAAATCGGTGATTTTTCGAAATTTTCGTAAACCACTTGACGTGGTTTAATTCATTTTGTGTTTTATTTACAATTCCCGGGTACGTTTTGTTAGTGTGTATATTTTATATTGTTAACATCATTAATGATATCCTTGACAACAAGCTGCGAGTGGAGTACTTGTACTCTTATATCGCCAGTAACGATTCCGTCCTTATTGGTAAATAATATTTTCATTGTTGAAGAGTTTATAAAAATAATATTTATTGTATAGCCCGTTTTAAGCGTGGTCGAATCTACTACTACATTAGTATAAGTTAATAAGACACCAAATTTGATTGTTATCCATTCAGGATTTCGTCGAATAATAAATAGTTAATTGTTTCACATTAATTAAAAAAAAATGGCCAACACCCATAAGTATTTCGATTACTTTGAACCGTGCAAGCAAGTAGAGCAAATAATTGTTCACGTATTTTGTAATATCATAAACTACAATTAAATATATACCTTTTATAAGTAGTTCAGTTGCATTCAAATTCTGATTAAAATTAGGTTCGTCATTAGTGCCGTCAGATCTCTGTATTTTTTTTGGCGAGCCATCACATCTAAACCCACTTTGACCTTCAACGACATTTTGGTAATTAAGTTGATCCTCTGCTATACTAGTATCACCAATGAGTATGTCGTCATTCTGTAAATGGGATTGGAGAGAGGTAGAATTCGGTCCTACTTCCTTATCACAGCCACCAATTTGAGCCTGTAGGAGAAAACAATTTTTATTAAAATACACACCAGTAATCCAAGAACTATATGTAAAATTAAATTGCAAAGAAACAGTTACAAACATGAAAAAATATTATCCAGTTGCTTATTATCCTGTGGAAATATACCAATTGCTTAGAGATGATAAACTACGAGATATTAATGACATTTCCTTCCACAATTGCCTATTCATGAAATCCAAGGATGCACAACAAAAAATCTCAAACAGCATGTGTTATCCAAGGATAGGAACTTTTTTCAATAGTCCTATCAAGCTGTCATGTTTTTTTGTTCAGTATTGTTTGGCATTTCATCATGGAAAGACTTGCAGGTACACTTGAACAACGTTTGAATTTGAAAATCGTCCAACTTTATTACGAAAACTCACGTTCTGTGAAGAATGTGTTTCGCGCGCTTCGCTCAACTTATGGTCAACATAATTGCCTACAGAGCGTATTATTCGCAACACCATCACCCATCTTAAGGCCCAAATTCATTATTAGATAATATTCAACCGAATAGATCACGTCCAGCATGCAGCAACAAGTATAGTATATATATAATATATCGCCGCCGTTCGCTGCGACTCGAACTGACGTGTGGAAGGACTTGCCGCATTTTACGTTGAGATCTTAAATTGAAAGCTTACAAAATAAAGATTGTGCAAGGGCTGAGGCCGCTCGACCTTTGCAAGCAACATTGCTTCGCTCTATGGGTTCTTGTAAAGTTTCAAGAATATTCAACATTTTTGAGCCAAATTTTGTTCAGCGATGTTTCCCATTTTTGGCTCAATGGGTATGTTAACAAGCAACATTTTCACATTTGGGACGAAGAGCAACTGAAGAGACTTAAGAGCTGCCATTTTATTCAGAAAAAATAACGGTTTGGTGTGGTTTGTGAGCCGGTGGGATCATCAATCCATATTTCTCCAAAAAATATGCCGCGAGAACATAACCGTCAATGGCGACCGCGATCGCGCCATAATAACGGACTATCTGACGCTTGAAATTGAAGCTTGTGATCTTGGCGAGATTTGGTTTCAACAAGAAAGCAACATCTCCCACATATCGCGAAATGCAAAGTCAAAGTCAATGCGGACAATCCCGCTTCGATTCAGGCCTCTGAGTAACACATCACGCGTGTTACTCACCAGTCGAAATGCTCGAACGAGTCATCGAAATTTGAACACAACGGATGGATCATCTGAGATGTCGCCGCCGCCAACATTTGAAAGAGTTCATCTTCAAAAAATAAATGCCACAGAATGTTCTTTCGATTGATAATAAATTTAAGGTATAAAACCAATCATGGAGTGAGATATAGGCCAAGTTTACGCTCAAATTTATCTATTTTAGGCACAAAGATTCATGCTTATACCATGCCGGCGATAAATTTTAACGTGTCTGGCTCATTTAGTTATTGATTTATCGCACTTTTTGTAGTTTTGAACAGTACCGTTATATGGGGAGTGAATGGGGTTTTTTATGCGATTTCGCATATTATTATAATATTCCTGCTGATCGAATTTGGTTGCTGTAGCTTTAGTGGTTTAGAAGATATTTACAATTAACTTATTATTCTCTGAGCCAAATATGAGTATTATATCTTAATTTCGTGCTTTGTAATGCCACTTTATAGGTTTTGGTTAGTGGCGATTTGTGGGGGTGACAGTAGTCCGATTACGCCCATCTACAAACTGTAATTTTTTTTTGTATAAAGAAACCTACATACCAAGCTTTATCCAGATATCTCGATTTTTACTCAAGTTACAGCTTGCACGGACTTACAGACAGACAGTCAACCGGATTTAAACTTTTCTTGTCATCCCGATTATTTATGAATATATAACCCTAAATCTCTACATCTCGATTAGTTTTAGGTGATACGTACAACCGTTAGGTGAACAAAACTATAATACTCTGTAGCAATTGCAATAGAATAAAATCTCTAAGCTCGCTGAAATCTTTATTTTTCAAGTTAAATTAACTGTGAAATTAACAAAATTATTGTATTGTATCAACGTGATATGAGAGTATAAAAACAAAACTACTAAAAAGTGATAAATATTTCGCAATTTTTAACTACTAAAAACGTAGAAATAAAAAGTAAGAAGGGATTAAGTCAATACTCTCACAATTTTCAAAAATAAAATCAGAGGCATACTTTCAGGTGTTCAACCAGAAATTCGAATATTATATTAGTTCCTAGTTCAGGGTGGTTTTCTACTACTATTACTTTACTAATTTTTTATACAAAGGCATATGATGACAAGAAAAAGAATTTCATTAATATATCCCAGAGATTGATTACTATTTTCCTATATAATATAGTCAGAGGAAGCTTCAGCGGAATAACTCCGACATATTTGTTTTAAGGGTTCGCTGAAATCAGCGTCTGTTCACAAGAGGTAAAACTCGCGACTCGCTTTATAAATGTATAAAAATCTTTATACTACTCACCTAGCAAGATTGTGTTCGTAATTTGGGACCCACCGCGAAGAAACCACTCCCATTGAAAAAGAAACAGCGTCGGACGAAAGACCTCACTTTTGATTTTTTTCCAAAACCATTTTATTTATTTATCTGTTTTTTCTTAAAGCCTACCAATAAGTTATAAAATCTTAAATCTATTTAAAAACTAGACAGGCTCAAGTAAGTGATTGAGTCGTTTTGGTGATACGTCACTCTTTAATACGCAGGCATACTTCTTTTAAATCGTGTTTGATCGCAGTAATGTACCACAGCATTAGCCAAAGGGTTGGGGTGGTCTCGGAGTTTAGATATGTATTTAATTCTGCTGTCTTTTACTTATTTCTTTACCACAGGGATACCAAGGTCTTTATGGATATTTTCGTTACGCATGAACCATAGCGAACATGTGATTGTTCTTAGCATTTTTTACTGAAACCTTTGTAATACAGGGCGGCTGATAAATTTTGCTACATTAAGAAACTCAAATAATTTTTTTTTTTTTCAGTGTATGGAATTCATTTTTCTTTTATTCATGTTAAAGCTCATTCAATTTTATTAAATATAGCTTAATTTTTTTTTAAAATAATGAAATTGAAATGCCCCCCCTGCTCGTTGATGCATGTGCGGCATCTTACCAAAAAGTTGTTCATTACTGCTTGGAGAGTTGAGACAGGAATAGCCGCAATTGTTCTCGAATGGATTGCCTTAGTTCATTCAAATTTGTTGATTTTGCTTTGTAGACTTCCTGTTTGCAATAACCCCACAAGAAAAASTCAGGTGCAGTAAGGTCAGGCGACCTGGGTGGCCAACGAAATGTGGAGTTTCTGGATATCAGTTTATTGGGAAATTTTCGTCGCAATTCTGTCATAACAGGTTGGGCTATGAGAGGAGCTGCATAATCTTGCTGAAACCACACAGAGTTGAAAGAAATTCTCAATGGGCGTAATTTTGGATAGAAAAACTCTCTCAACATGCTCAAGTAACGGTCTCCAGTATCCGTTTTCTTCGAAGAAGTAGGGCCCGACAATGCAGCGTGATGAAACTGCACACCACACTGTGACACGAAGTCGATGCAATTCCGTCTCATGGAGTATCTGTGGGTTGGAAGCACTCCATATTCGACAATTTTGTTTGTTTATGTTGCTGTTTAAATCGAAATGGGCCTCGTCCGACATGAGAAGACAGTTCAACATGTTACCATCCTCTTCCACTATTTGAAGCATCTTCTGGCAAAATTCCAAGCGAATCGGCAAGTCTGCAGCGTTCAGTTTGTTGGCCATTTGAATTTTATATGGGAATAAGTCCAAATCTTTGTGCATAATAACTGTAATGACTGTCGGCTTACACCCATTTCAGCAGATAAGCTTCTTGTCGAAACACGTGGATTGTTTTGTATGGCAGCAGCGATTGTTTCCTCCGTTCGAACTGAAGGGTTTCGATGGTAAGGTCTTCTGTTGACCTCTTTGAACTGAAACTACGGACTCCAGTGCGTGATAGCGGCGGACAATCCAAATTCTTGTTTCAGTGTCCCAGTTATCCATTTTTGTTAAATGTAAAAGTCAATCTGCAAACTGAAAAAAAATTAACCAGATTCATTAATTAGAAAAAAAAATAGAAAAAAAGTTATTTAATTTTTTTTCGGTAGCGGCTTTCATCAGCCACCCTGTATATAAATATTAGTTGTACAGGTCGTACCCCACAGTTGAATGCCATACATCCAAATCGGCTTTATGACTGCATTATATAAAAGCACTTTGTTGTCTAGGCTAAGTTTGGAGTTTTTATTTAAAAGCCAATTTAAATTTGCAGCTCTAATCTTTATACATGTTATTTTACTAGCGATGTGTTTTCTCCACGTGAACCTTCTATCTAGGTGAATACCAAGATATGTTACTGCGTTCGCTTGGGGTACTAAAATATTACTTATTTTTACTGCTGGGCACATCTTTGGTCTTAGCGAAAATGTAATATGCTTGCACTTCTGTTCATTCACATTTATACGCCAGTTGGCTAGCCATTCTTCGACAAACCTTAAGTGCTCGGCTAGAATTCTTGATGCTATTATGTGGCATTTGTTACGGCTCACTATAGCTGTGTTTATAAAAATTTATATTTTTTTTAAATAAGACTTCAATATTTTATACAATTCTAAAAGTAGAATTTTTTTAATCTTGTATAAAATACCTTCGTGCCACACCTTATCAAACGCCTGAGCTACATCTAGAAATATTGCTGAACAGTACTCCTTGTGCTCTAAGCTTTCTTTATCTCATTAGTAATTATATTTACTTGCTCTATTGTGCCATGTTTCGCACGAAAACCGAATTGATGAATTGGTATTGTATTATTTTCATGGAGGAGAGGAGACATCTTTGATATAATACTTTTTCAAATATTTTTGAAAGATAGGGTAGAAGTCTGATTAGTCTGTATGAAGACGGCTGTGTTAAGTCTTTCCCAGGTTTATCTACCAAGGTAATCTGCGACTTTTCCCATGAAATTGGATAATATACGAGACTAAGAA